TGCAAGAAAACAGAAGAGGAAAACGTGAATTCCCTCTATTTCCCTTTCTCACAGGTCTAGCCTTGCTAATGGCTTTCTGTCTGAATTGCCAAAGGTTAATAAGTATGAATATCTGGCCCGGGAGAGCGACCACGTGGGTCACACGCTGTTGCCTTCATCAAACACCAGGGGAGACAGCGGCACCCCGAGGGGGTAAGATGGTTTAATGGCTGAGGTGAAAGATCTCAAACTAAAATCTGTTTTCTTACTCTCTCTCCGACTCACTAAAAGCTCCCAAACACACCATTTACTCTCTTCAGTCTTTCAGCTTTGCCTGTTTGTAAGACTAGACTCTTGCTAACTATACCGACGGGACTCTACCGAAAATTGTCTGTAATCTCCTCGTGACAAGAGCCGAGGCAAGCAGTATTTTACAATCCCTTCACTCCAACAGTTGTTTCACAGCCAGAAAAGCATTTTTTCCATGGCTAACATGGCATGGGAAAAATTGCTTAGAGATGCAAATATTAAAATAAAATGGAAGTGTGGTAATGCCTTTTAATGGACAAATTACGCCGAATGACAAATACGAGGTTGTGCAATAAAAAATTCACACAAGGCGGCAAGTAAAATTTGAGCTGTGTACAGCAGTTGGAACAAATTAATCTGACTTTCCCATGCCACATATTTACCCCATAGAACCACAAGAGCCTGAGAATGAAACGTTAAAGTGAATTTCCTGTTATAATTTAACAAAGGAAAAAAACCCTGTCATTTCCTCAGCTGGAACGGGCATACTTCTATTGAGACAGAGATTTATTTTCTTAAACAACAAAACACCTTCCTCCTTCCTTCTCTCCCCTAGTTTATTATTGTTTAGAACAAGAGTGGGATAAACCAAAGCGATAAGGAGAAGCAGCAAGATGGTTGGTATTTCTAGAGCAGAGTTTTTACCCTTTATCGGACCATACGCTGCGTGGAGCCACATCGTCACAGAGTGAAAATTAAGTGACTGCAATTACCTGATGTTCTCCTTTAATTCCCCCAACCAGTAACCTCTACAGCAGTCGACGTGGCAATACTGGTGCCTGACCCTGCGTTTCCACACCTCCCCGAGCAGCGCCAACACCGCAATGTGTTAAAAGACATCTTTAAAAAGGAGGTTGAGTCGAAAGAAGACAGTTGTTACCAGCTTTCCTGGCTTTAGTGGGTTGGCAATAGGCCAACATCTGGCTGCTGGAGCTCAGCAATGAATTTGCACGTACTGGAAGAGAGCCGCAGCCAACATTTTTACAGCTGCTGGGCGCACACGGCTCTTTGAACTTGTGTCCCTTACATGCACCAAAATAGCCCGGCAGGCAAGGGACGCCCCTCACACGTGTCTGAAATCCTGGCCATAAGGCACATTCCTCATGTGGCAAAACAAGCCTTCTCACAGTTAAATTCCCAGGATTGCTTCCCTGCTGGAATGCCTGTGATGTTAGGGCAAAGTAAAAGCCAGCAGCCAGTACAACAGGCTGGCCATGACAAGTGCTTATGGAATACTGCACAAGCTGATTTTTCTTCAGTGACGTTGGAAGGAAAAAAGCTTCGGGCTGAAATGCTGCAGCGCACAGGTGGGTAACGGCACTGGACACCAAGGTGGAAATGCATTCGCATTACTATTAGCAAATTTGTTGCCTT